TTATTACTTTTAAAGTTCATTCTTTGTTCAAACAACATTATTAATTCCAAACATTTATATAAGTAGAAAAGCATCTAGAAAAAATAAAGTGGATATTTCAATATTATTAAAAATTTCAGTAACTTTCACATATCACTTAAACAACGTTATAAAAAAGTACTTTATGAAAAGTATAGCATTATGAAAAATATTACGCAAAAACGTGCATTAATTTTAAAATCAACCAATAAAAAATTTTTATTGGTTAATTTTAAAATTAACGCGCGTTTTTACGGTCCATTAGTAATGTTTTTTTAATGTTGCTTGAATAAAGAATGAATTTTAAAAGTTATAATTGCGTTATAAAAGTAATAACACTATTATAGTGTTATTACTTTTGTAATGCAGTTAGTGACTAGAGTGTTATTACTTTTTTAATTGTAAGTTTATTGTTTTATTTTTTATTTTTTTGCTAACAAATTTAAGTTGATTCTCCCCTTAAAAACAAGGAACACGGTTTTGTATAAACTAAAATTTTTAATACTAGATATTTTTCCAAATTTTACGTTTTGCATTCGCTTGGTTCAACCCTTGTTGTTACATTAAAATTATACAAATAAATTTTACAAACACAGGGTTATAAGCATTGGACTGTTTAATTATTTTCCATTTAACTATAAGATTCAAATTAGCTTCCTTTAATTTCCATAACTCCTTTGATAACTCAGTGTCATTTTTATAACTGATAATATTAAATAATTTTATGTGATTAGCATATTTAATTTTGAAAGGTGTTTCACCTATACCCATGTAAAATTTGTTTATAGAAGTTTGAGCAGAATCATTAGTGGTTAAATTAGCTTGGTATACGATGTTATTTGTTAGGCATTTGTTTGCTAAAGAGCAGGTCTTTTTATCAAGGCAGTTGCAATTGCTTTTAGTGGTAATTTTGTTGTTGTTTAAAATATGACGATTGTGTGCATTTAAGATAGATTTCATATTTGGCATGCAGCTGTAATCATATGGAGCTTATGATTAACAGGGAAGTGTTTATCGATAAGAGTTAACAAAATTTTTCCTAAATTTGTGCTTTCTCTTAAAGGGGGGTTAAACCAAATGATGTTGTGTCTACGGTTCTTAACATGAGTTGAATTAAAGTTAGGATAATAAGAAAGCTTATGAATGAAACCTGATTTTAATAATGCTTTGTTATACATGTCAGTAGAATTTTGAAAAATTTCTTGGCTTGATGATAACTGAAGATTAATGAACTGGTACTGTTGTAAATAACTGAAGATTAATGAAATGGTACTGTTGTAAATAACTGAAGATTAATGAAATGGTACTGTTGTAAATAACTGAAGATTAATGAAATGGTACTGTTGTAAATAACTGAAGATTAATGAAATGGTACTGTTGTAAATAACTGAAGATTAATGAAATGGTACTGTTGTAAATAACTGAAGATTAATTAAATGCTACTACTTTAAATGAAGATTATTATCAAACTGAAGATTATTATCAACAACTTATCATTTTATATGATATTCAATTACATTTAAATGTCTTATATTTTTATATTTTTATTTTAAAAGTAAATAAACAAATGAATAATGAAAGCAAAAAATAATAAAAATAAACAAAAAGATAAATGGTATTTTTGTGAGTGAAATGGTTTGCAGATTTGTTTTACAACAGGCTCCTAAATGGAGGTCTTAAGTTTAAGATAACTTTTAAGGCTAATATCATTCTTAAGTTACTTTTTAAGTTTCTTAAGTTACTTTTAATTATGTCTATGTTGCTTAATATCCGCTCACAATAATATGTTGGTTCAAAGTCTGTCAAAATCCTCTTGCCACCAGCTTAATTTAATTTATTCTTCTTTTTAATATAATTTATTCTTTTTAATATAATTTAATTTATTCTTCTTTTTAATATAATTTAATATAATTTAGTCTTCTTTTTAATATAATTTAATATAATTTAGTCTTCTTTTTAAGATTTAAAAGTTCTTTCCATTTATGACCAACTGCAATTTTTTCTTAATTTTTTCTACAGGTTTTCTAGTTCTAGTTGCAGAGTTTTTTTGATTTCAAATCTGTTAACTGATGATTAAAAATTATTTTGTTGATATTTACAGTAAATAGATATGTCAAAAATGACAAAGGAGACGAGAGTGCATAAAGCAAATTGAGAAAGAAATAACTAGTTTATGACAAAAGAAATTAATTTTTCTACATTTATCAGATGTACTATGTAAAACTATCTATCTAAAACTATCAGACGTAATATGTAAAACAAAACTATCAGACGTAATATGTAGAACAAAGAAAATAGGATTAAAAAAGATCGATTAAATGAAGTTTTTTTTTGAAGAAAGATTAAAAATCAGAAATTTAAAACACAGGTTGAATGCATGGGACTGGTTGGGTATACAAATGAGAATGCTACTGGTTCAAAAACTATCCATCTATCCGAAAGTAAAAAATTGCCCTTGAATCTATTTCAACAACAGTAAAGACAACAGCAACAACGTCAACATCTGAATTTGTGTCTGAGGCTGAATATCAAAAGTCTGAAGAAGAGTCCACCAGCAAGAACTACAACAAAATCAAAGCTGCAACCAAATTAGTAACATCTTTAAAGTTATCAATCATTAGGGAAAAGATTACTATATCTGTCCAACAACATCTGTGAAGTAGTCTAATATCATCTGTTCACTTTTGTCCAAGATCATCTGTATTTTTTTTATTTACTCTAACAACATCTGTCCAAAATCATCTGAAAATTCAACAAACCCTAATAACATTTTTAGGAAGATGTAACTACATCTGTAAATTTTTCTCCAAGTCCAATAACATTTGGAAGAATTTTCTCCAGATGTAGTTACATCTGAATAAATTCTTTTATGTAACAACATTTGGTTAAAATTTTAATTTTAATTAGCGTTAATAGTTAATATATTTCTCCAGATGTAGTTACATCTGAAAAAATTGGTAAACAATATCTGGGTAAAATAATGCATTATTAATTAATAAAATCTACAGATGTAGTTACACAGATATTATTACACTTTGATAATTTAAAAGATGTCACTACATCTGCAGAATTTTCAGATGTAGTTGCACAGATGTTGTTATACTTATAAAATTAAAATGATGTAACTGCATCTGTAAAATTCATTTAATTATTACACAGATGTTATTAGACATCAATGAAATTTCAGATGTTGTTGGACAGATGTTATTATACATCATTATATTTACAGATGTTGTTGGACAGATGTTACTAGACATGGTAAAAACTGATGTTGTTACCCTGACCTAACCACCAAAGTAGCTAGCATTTGTTGACAGTTATATCAAGATAGGATCAATATTCAGACATTTTTGAAACCATCGTGACTAGAAATTCCCACAATAAATCAGCATACAGAACAAGCAATCAAGTGTCTTCAAAATCTTTTTAACACCTGTAAAGAAAAAAAGAGATGACATTAAATCTAAGCTTGTCCAGCTTAATGTCTAACAAGACATAAGAATTGTATATTACACTTTAAATAATGTTTCTGATTATTAAAATAGTAAAATTCAGAAACTAGTAAAAAAATGTCACTCAAGGACTTATGGCAAACTTTATCTTTTATCGAATGAAATAAGACAAAGCAAAAGAAAAAACATTTGCATACATTGACTATGGTTTTTTGTCATTGGAATTTTAAGACCACCACAATCTATAGACCTAAGGTAATCACCAAACTTTTCATAATAAATTAATATTTGGTTGAACAAATTGTTTTTATTATATTCATTTCTATATACATAACCAGCAATATATATCAAATATATTTTGATAGTATCATAAATTGATGACTCTTTTTCTAAATTGTCAAATATTTTACTACCTGTTTCACAGAAAACATACATGCAAAAAGCATGTATGTTTTCTGTTACTCTTGACCTGAACTAAAATCAAAAGAATCTACGATGACATTTAAAGATAACAAAAGTGATGTGTGATTTATATGCAATTTTTCTATAATTTGTTGAACATTTATAAAGTAGGTACCCCCGGAACCTTGTCTCGATTCCCAATTTGAAGTTTGACAGTGTCATAGCAAGTATGGTGAATTGATTTTGAAGTATCATTAGATAACTGCTTAACTCTTTTGCCGTTTTAAAAACATATTTTAAGAGCCATATCAAACTGAAGTAGAGTATTAAGATGGCCATTATCACGATTACAAATAGATGTTTTTTGTTGATCATTGTGTCTTACATTAGCTCCACAACCTTTCACGTTTAAAATATTCTACCAGGTTATTACTTTATTTATAAATATTGTTGTATCCTTAGGAAATATGGTAGTATAAATATTGTAGTATCCTTGGGAGCTATTGCAATTTTGTTGCAATAGGCTATTGTAATTTAATTGCAATAGTTCCCAATCATATGTTCACAGTTATGTGTTTCATAGTTCACAATTATTTATTTCATAGTTCACAAATATGTGCTTTGAATGTAAATGACAAACATGTTGCATGTTTTAAATCAAGTTTACTAATATATGAATAAATTATAAACTAAATAAGTTACACTAACTTTGCACAAAATATTTTTTATAAGAAACTAAGGAAAATATTATTATTTTTAAATGCTTTCTAAAATTCAAATATTTCAAAAAAAACTGTACTTACTAGATGAAATTCAATTTTATAAGTTTTTTTTTTTAATATTAAAACTATTTTTACATGAATGAGCTTGAAAACTTTCCCAGGACTCCTTAAAATAGAACTTACATTTAAGTTTCTGGTTTCTTTGTTTCTGTGGTTGCATACTTTAAATATTTTCTAAAAACTAATTTTTTACTAATTTTTAGAATTTATGCTGATCTCTGGCCCACAATGCAATGCAAAAAAATTAAGTCATAAGGGAACTCTTTGCTTGCAATGGTCAGCTCTTTTTCTGAACTTTTTGTAACTTTTATTTATTGGAATAAAAATCTTTCATTCTCTTTTAAAGATATCTCAATCTACTATGCTAAAGTTATCTGCTAATTCTACCCGAAGAGCACGATGGCATGCAAAGTTAGGATATCAAAGAGAGAAAGTAGCATTTCCAGTGCCCTTGAAATCTTTATATACAGATGGTGGATTAGTTGGTTGTGTCAAAGTGCTTATTTTACGAAAATATCCAATGCAGGTTCTTTGTTTAATCAATTGCAAAATACTTTTTTTACAACAATCTATAAAGTATATATTTTTGTAGTAACAATTTGTATCATACGTTTTTGCAACTTGTAAAATGTTTATATATAACATAAAATTTAGTGGATGGAAAAAGTGGGAGGTAGATGCTTGTTTAGGAACTTTTTTGCTGAAGAGCAAGTGAAGAAAAGGTATGAGGAGGAAAGAAGTATCAAAATGGAGCAGCTCTATGTAAAACTAAAAAAAGAATTAGAGATGAAAAGTAATTTTTATATCTTTTTGTGACCATCATTTTTGCATCATCATCCAGATGTTATCAAAGCTGTTTTGTAGTCATCTAGATGTTAACACCAGCTACTTAACTAAGATGTAGCTCTAATTGTTGTTTTATTGTCATCATTCATAATTTTTATTCAAAATATCATTTCCTGCTTTTATAGAGTTATCAGCAAGAAATTATATTATATTACTGCTCTGTTCTTTAAAAATATTGATCTTATTTTTTGTCTAGTCTAACACAATTTACACACACATGCACACATGCATGTATGACACACACACACACAAACAAGTTATACACACGCATACATATATACATATGTTATACAATTAACAAACATATTTCACACTCTTAATATTATATATTATAGAAGATAAAAAAGATGTAAAGAAAAAAAAGAATTTCAACATTAAGTTACTGAATTGTGGGAAAGATATTTTTGAAGCAATTGATGGTGCAGCTGATCCTGCTGCACTTGAGGTTTGTGTTGTTTTTTCTGCTGCATTTGATGGTTTTTTTTTTTTTAATTTATTTATTACAAAAACTCAAAAAATTAAAAATGTTGTTTTTTTTTAATCACAATTTAATTGTTTAATATCAAAATCTACATTTTATAAAGACTATAACTGTATATATTTTATGTTGATTTTATTTCAAATATTTTCTTAATTAGACTTATTTTTATCACTTAAGTAGACATTATTTTTATCAATTCTTTTCAAAGGATTAACACCAAACTACTGATAATGATAATGAAAATGCAATAACAACATTATTATGAAAGAAGAAGAAAATGATGGCAGAGGCCATTTGAAAAACAACAGTCTATATTATAATAAAATAAAAACAGAATGAAAAGAAAAACAATCAAGTTTTTTTTAAATGTATTAAAAAAATAAAAACAACAACAGACTTCATAACAAATCATAAATAATTTTGAAAGTTCTAATAAACAGTCTATAAAATAAAGACATCAAGATATTAAATTCTACTTGGATATGTCTAAAGCATTTGTAGAATTTTGGAATGAAAATAGTTCTATAAACTACACAACTATTACAAAAACATATGCAGTTTTAAAGTTTATTTTAATTTAGGTTTAGTTGTGTTTATTTTACTTGTGATAAGCAATCATTTGCTTTAAAAAATCTTCTTTCTTTGTTAGAGATATTTGTAAAAAGGTTTATGTTTAAAGAAGTAAATATGTGTACATAATATTTATAAAGGATTAATAATATTTGCAGCAATTGTTGAGTGATAGCCAAAAAAACCTGGTTATTAAATACAAACAAAACTTAACAGAACAGTTCCAAAGTGAGTTAAAGAAGAGATTTGAAGAAGAATGGAAAAACAGTGAGGTAAATAATTTAACTTGATTTATTTATAGATCAAAGTAGATTGTTCATGTTTATTTATCTTTAAAGTTAAGAGGTTTTTGTGAGTTTACTTTTTTCCAGTTTCAAGAGAGGTCAACTGTACAATTACAACGGTTTCGTGTGCAATGCATGTGCAATACAAACCAAAGTTTGTCTTTTTTTTATATATATAAACTATTTCATATTAATTTTTAATTCTTCTGTGTTTATATTTATAATATTTTCTATATTTAATACTTTTTCTTATTTGATATTATGACTAAAATATTCTTCCTTCATATATAGATACAATCTTAAGTGTGTGGAAACCAACAAATGATATTAATGAGCTTTGGAATGAAGGAGTTAAACTTTCTATATATAACTTGAGTTGTACAAAAAATAGGTAATAAAAGTAAGTGTGAAAAACAGGATGAGAAAAATGTTATAACAACACAAGAAATTTTTTGAATTAACCAAAAATATATACACTCATTAACTTTAGTGAACTTGTGATGTGGTTGCATAATTTAAAAAATTTGTGTATATATATATATATATATATATATATATATATATATATATATATATATATATATATATATATATATATATATATACTCTTACTGAGTTTAGCAAATAATTTGCAAAACTTAAATTTTAAAATGCTTGATTAAATCCAAACAGTTTTTTAAGAAAAAGAACCCTTTAATTCCAAAACCTTGTCATACAAGGTCATGTTTTTTTAAGTTTTATTAATGTTAAATAAAGTTAAATAAAACCTTATTATTAAAATAAGGTTTTATAAAATTTTATTAAAGCTTTCAGACTACAATGTATATAAAATTTATATTATATTTTATAAAATTATGTTTCTTGGTGTAAAAATGCAGAAAAAGACAAGCTTTTAGACTGAGATAAAGCTTGACAGTGTTTTTATTAATTTTCTGTAAGAGTCAGAATACCTAGGGTTAAAATTCAACCTTTCTTATTTTAATTCGATAGGGTTTTGATGCTGCCCAGACCCATCAAGTACAACTTCTCTCAATTTAAATTTGTAATTCTCTTTTTTGTATTTTTTCTCCTTTTCTTACCTAATAAAAGTCAAATTGTATAATTTTATCATAGAATGTTTAAGGTGTAAAAGAAATTTTAAAAAACATCTTCAAGTTGAAAAACTTAAAATCTACCTAAAATTTACCTTAAAATTTATCTAAAATATAAACCTAAAATCTACCACAATTTAAAAGAATTAAAAAAATAATAATAAAAGAGTAAAAAAAATTTCATGCTATAATGTTTATAAATTAACATAAAAATTTGAAATTTTTTTTTTCAAATTTTCGTAAATCTAAGTTATATCAATTTAAAAGATGTTTTTTGACATTTCTTTTATATCATATTTTTGCATATCTGGAATTAATGCCATTTTGATTATTTCCAATCACTGCGTGTTGACATGGCAACAATACCAATTGATTTCCAAGCTGAAACTTGGAATTCAATTGGAATTGCTGTCATGTCAACATGCAGTGATTGGAACATACATACATATATATATACATATATATACAGGGGCTATTCTAGACCGTTTTTGACAGCGTCGACCATATTTGGGCACCAAAATATGGTCACCCAAATTCAAAATTGAGGACCTGTTTTTTTTATTTTTTATGGGAAATGTTTAATTTCGCAAAAAAAGTTTATATTTGGCAATATTTCCACCAAATTTTACTGGGATGTGGGGGTAGTGCTGCCAAAAATATTTTCCTAGAATAAGCCCTGATATATATATATATATATATATATATATATATATATATATATATATATATATACACATAAAGTACTGGTCAAAGTTATAGCACAACCTCTTAAAAATAAGATTGTCATATCAAATTTTTGTATGCATTAATCATATTGTTGAGAGGTACTATATTTTTTAAATGCGTTTTCATTAGTCCTTTAAAATGTGCGCATAAAATTAAAAATTTTGTTCATTGTTTATCTTAGAAATGAACAGTTTTACAAACATATATAAAAAATGTTGGTCAAATTAATAGCACTCTCACATTCATATGTAATTTTGACAGTCTGTATGATTAAATGCATTGAAGCATTGTTGTGTATGATATTTTATTTATCTACTAGCGTCATTTTTAACTATTTAAAATAGCAAATCTTAAAATTTTGTCAGTGTTTTTTTAGTAATTTTAAAGTTAAAACATAGTTTATGCAAAGGGTTGCAAAGCAGTGAGCTCAGAGTGGTGACAACTTGTAAAAATTTACTTCAACAGCAATTTAATATTGCTGATATTGCTAAACGTGCTAAAACTTCCAGAAAATTTGTCTACAATATTGCTGATAAAATAAATTATATTTACCAATGAAAAATCAACCAGGTCAAGGATGTCTTAGATACACTAATTCTACAGAAGACCGTACTGTTTAACTCCATAGCAAGTTTTCTATTTGAATCGTACTGATTCAAGCAGAAAATTTGTTATGGATTTGAATGCTGCAAAAAAAACAACCATTAGTGCAAGTACAGTTTGTCATCGTTTGTTAGAAAAAGGGTTGGAAAGTTACACACAAAAACAGTGTTGTTTTCGAAATAAGGCTCAGAAAAAGAAGACACTCACTTGGTGTAAAAATGTTGATTGGACTCTAAATCAATTGCATTATGTAATATTTTGTGGCAAATCACATTTTGAAGTCATAAATAGAATGGTAAGTTTGTACGTTGTCTTCCTAATGAAAAAGATTTACCATTTAATTTTACCACAAAAGCACAAGGTGGTGGTGAAACTATTTCTGTATGGGGATGTTTTTCTGCAAATAGTGTCGAAAAATGAACTTCAGAATAGTTTTGAATATATTAAAAAGGCCTAATGTTGTGAAATGAAGGAATAGTGTTGCAAATGAATTTAATGAACAGTTTTGAAAACAAAAAAAAGGAATAGTGTCGCAAATAGTAAAAATGGAATAGTATTGCAAATAGTTAATTTCAATTGCTTACTTGTTTTGCTTATCTTTATAGCATACAGTTTTTACAGAAAAAAAAGAATAATAAAAGAAAACATTGCTACCAAACACCAAACCCTCAGTTGGTGTAGTGGTACTCCTTTGCGGTAGCAGACTATAAGATGGTTGGTGTACTGATGTACTGATGTAAGGTTATTCACTGGATCTATTTGTAAATTTAGGGGCTCTTTAGGAAATTTATGGATTTTTTTTTTTATTATTAATGTTTAGTAGAAAATTTTTTCAAGAAATTAGGGCCATAATAATAGGGTTTGTTTGTTTGTTTGTTGTTGTTGTTGTTGTTGTTGTTGTTTTTTTGGGGGGGGCTCTAACCCACTGGCCACAACACTGACTGTAATCATGTGTAGTTTTGGACTCTGACTGCAAAAACTGCAAAAAAAGGAAAAATTTTATAAATTTTAAAATTTTAATATTTTTATATAGATTCTTTAAAAAAAAATCTTTTTGTAAAAAACCTCTAAGAAACCAAAAATAATTGTTCGATGACTTTTAATAGAAAATTGTTAAAATTTAATTAAACTGTTAAAATTTATAGAATAAGTAGTTATATTTTAGTTTATTCTCTTTAGGTATAAGCACATAAAGACTCAAGTTCAGGTATTTGTTTATAGTTAGTTAATAATATGTGTGTTTATATACAGTGCTTTCAAAAAAAATTGGCACAGTAAAAAGTTGAGTTCCTTTTCTTTTTTAAAACATCGTAAAAACCTATCCATATTTCCTAGAGACTTTAAATTTTTTGAATGATAGGAAAATTATTTCTCTACAACTAACATGTTAACAACTAGTTCATATTCAGTTACTTCTTTTTAATAATTTACTTTTTTCAAAGAAATACAGAAAACATACATAAAATAGACGCACAAAACTTTTAATGATTTCCGTTCTACTTTCTTGTCAACCCAACTATTATTCATAATTATTTTATTAATTTATGTTTATTATAATTTTATTAAATTATGTTAGTTTGACATTTTCCTAAAAAAAGGTTAAAAGAAAAAATTACTTATAAATAAAGGTTGTATAAAACTTATGATGACCAGTTAAAGTAAATATACATAAAAATGGGTTGAAAAGCAGTAAGCAAAGCAACAAAGTGGCAAAAAATAGGTATGAAGGATGGCTTATCAGTTACAGAGAAAAAAGCAAGAAACTTAAAAAGTTCAGAGAACTGCATCAGATATACTCTAAAGACATTTAAAACAACAAGTGGCATCCAATGTCATAAATAGTCCTATAAAATCATGGATGAAAGAAAATAAATTAGATTTATTGCTATGGCCAGCTTGATCATTGAGTTTGAATCCAATTAAATCTATTTAGACTTGGATGGACAAAGAATTAGTCAATTAGATACCATTAAGAGAAGAGTTCCAAACGAAATCTGCAACAATCTTGTAGAATCAATGCAAAAAAGATATGCTGCTTGCAAAAAAACTTGTGAGGGATATTTTAAATACTAGCTTAGATGTTATTTTTGTTGCTTTAGTTTTTTATATATTGCAGTTTTTTTATTGATAATTTTTGTTACTATGTTTGATAATGTTTGTATATACAACTTTATGTTTTAATACGCCATCCAAGATGCAAGATTTGTTTAAAAATATTTTTCTTGCAAATAAAAATTTTTTTTAAATATCTTCTTTAGTTTAAGGTAGTTTAATAAGCTTTAAGCAACAAAATTATTATTTTTATAAAAAAAACTATTTTTTTTGAAGGCACTTTATATTTATCTATATACATAATTTCACTACTATAATATGTGTCTGTGTGTGTGCGTGTGTCTGTGTGTGTGGGTGTGTGTATGTATATATATACATGTATATTATATATATATATATATATATATATATATATATATATATATATATATATATATATATATATATATATATATATATATATATATACATATATATATATATATACTATATATATATATATATATATATATATATATATATATATATATATATATATATATATATAATATATATACATATTATATATAATATATATATATTATATATAATATATGTATATATTATATATATATTATATATATTGTATATTATATATATATATATATATATATATATATATATACATAAATATATAATATGTATATATATTATATATAATATATGCATTTATATATATAATATATATGCAGTACATTAATATACATTCCATCATTATACATAAAGTGTATGTTTATATGACTACCTTTTGTAATGAACTTTAAATAAAAAACTAGATTTCAGTCTGAAATTTGTGAATACCTTGAGATTTTTGAGTGCAAACTAAGTGATACCCTCTCCCTAAAAACTGCGTACACTTTCCTAAGAACTACCTACACTGGCACCCCATCCTGGTCATTTGAAAAATAGACGAAATTTGGTTTGAAATAAATAAAAAAGTTGTTTTTATTTATTCTTCAAAAAAGGTCTACCAGCATGACCTGTGATTAGGTCATGCTAGGTCCCATATTAAAGTTTTAAAAAATCACAGTCAAGTTGAATGTCATGTTTTTTCTTCTTTCTGTAAATAAAAAGCCTTTTAAGCTTCTTTCTGACATTTAGTTTAAATTGTCTTCTTTTGCGCACAAAATCTAAAAAATAAGTGTACCTGCAATTTTTTTCAAATATGCTCAATCTTTGATTCTAAAATCTTTCTCAATACTCAAACTTTCTTTGAACTCAAAGTTTTACTTTACTTTAAAGCTAAAAACTGCTTAACAAAAAATAAACTTGGAAAAATATTATTTATCATTTTTGATTGCCAAATGCTCCCATTGAAACCAAAACATAAAAGCCCATTTGTGATATTTATGCAAAGTGAGTAGGGCCAGCATACCCATAAAAGTGGCAATATTTAAAGAATTCAAAGTCACTGTTTTAAAACATTAGATTTATCCAGGAAATGAGTTGATTTTCATTATTTTAAACAGTTATAATAGTGTTAATTTTTTTTTTTTCAAAAATCTTTATTAATATATTTAAAGAATTTAAATTATAAGGAGTGTTAGGAATTTTAATTTTTTTATATTTAGCTATCTACTACACACACATCGAAATATTTTGTACACGAGAACGAAGCAAATCTAAATTTTCATTCAAGAAAGGTTTCATTTACGTTTTTGCTAAAATATTGCTTAGCATGATCAAACAGGGCGGATTTAAAAAACACAATTTTAATTTATTAAAGAAATTTTATTTTTATTTTTTATTTTTTTGAATTGTTGAACTACAAACAGATTTTAGAAAGTTAAAAAAAAAGTTTATAAAAACAAAAGATTTTAGTTGTAACAAGGAAGAGGTTCAAGGTTGTTGTTTTTTTTTTTAATTTTTAACAGATTTTTTCAGATGTTGTTGTTTTACACTTGTGCTGTGTTGTTGTTTGGTGTTGATGCAGTTGAAACTTGACTGATAATACTTATAATGATAGGTTAAATGTCTTATAATATGGAAACTAAAATTAAAGAGCGTGGGAGCCAAAACTAAAGAGAGTGGGAACTAAAATTAAAGAGTGTGGGAACTAAAACTAAAGAGTGTGAGAACTAAATTAAATAGTGTGGGAACTAAAATTAAAGAGTGTAGGAACTAAAAATAGGGAGTGTGGGAAATGTATGTCTTATAATTATGCTTCTAAAATGGATCTTTGGCAATCTTATCTAATTTTGTTCATAAATTTTTGTCCAGTAATTCTTAACAATAATTTAATAGTCTTTAACAACCGTTGAGAGCTAGTAAAGCTGCAGTTGAGAGCTAATGTGTTCTTTTGTTTTTTTTTCAATTCAAAATAAATCTTTTTTAAGTATTTGTTTTTAACTTGTTGTTAACACTAAGATTAAAAATGTTTTATAATTGCCCCCTGATTGATCATACATTTTCTGAATGAGGTTATTGAATTTTAAAATGTTCAAAGCTATTTTAATTATTTTAATTGAGAAAGCAATTACTTCAATTTTAAAAGTATTTTAAAATATACTTAGAGGAACTCTCTACCTTAACGGAAAATTTCCATGGAAAATCTATGAAAAAACCATGGAATTTCCATGGGTATTTGGAACACCTTTCAAAGAAAACACATGGATTTTCTGTGGTAAAATAGCATGTTTTGTTTTCAAGTTTTTTTAATCTAATGTTATTTTCAATTGTCATATTAATCCATAAAAAGACAAGTTTTATCATGCAAATCGCCAATATTATTGAGTGCTTTTAATCTATGGGATCTTTTACGCAAAATTAAATCAATAACAAAGTCCTACAAATCTTTGAAAAATAATAGCATCTAAAACATTAAAATTTGACTTCACCACAATATTTAACGCATGCATATGTATAAGCTTACTGAAAATAAATAAAACAAAAAATTAAAAGTAATATCATACTATACTCAATGCAACTAAGGCATAGATCAAACAAACTCGTAAAAAAAAAGCCGATAATTTAAAACAAATCTGATTAGTTGTTAGTGACAAACCAAAAAACTTTTTATTTATTGGTATTTAATTTATGCAATCAAAGAGTTCGAATTGAATGTAAATTATTTATAAAATTTTCCACCTTTTTTAATTGTTTACGCATTCTGAATGTAATAATTTATTATTTCAAGATGGCCGAATAAGTGCCAAGTATTTCAAAAAATGATACTAAATACCGAAAACAGTTTTTTAAATGGGGCTAAAAGTTATGATTATTTATGCAAAAATGACTTTGGTAGAAAAATTAACACTACCATAGGTTAACTAAATCTAACGTGACATTATTGTTTAACATACTCATTTAGGTGTGGTATTGAAAATAGTAACTTCAATTTTCATAAAAAAATGGTTTTTTATGATAATTTTCCCAAATAATTTCTGATTAGAAATGTCAAGTTACATTCATTGAAAACAAAAATCAATACGTGCTTTTATCAAAAAATCAAGTTCATAGACTTATCTATAGCTAAGCCCCAAGGTACTTTATACCAGATTTTAATAGTGGTTAAAATAATCTTTCCATACATACCAAATATGTCATACTTTTTGATGAAAAAACTTATATATATTGTAATTAAAAAAACTTATGTTTTTGTTCGTAAAAATGTGTACCAGGCCTTAGTTGCATTGAGTATGTGATATACATACAGTGATAAACAATTTGAATAAATTAAGAAAACAATTTTTACAGAAAATATAACACTTTACATGTTTATTATTTTATATTAACTATTTGATAAAAATAGTATATTTAAATTTGATAGTTAATAACTTCAAGTTTTAACAAGTTAAAAAGAAATATCACAACAATTAACACAACATATTTAATCCAAAAAAACATCAAGACCACTTATAAGTTTGATTACACCGCCAACTGTAATTGCAGAACCAGGTAATCGTCAAACAAATTACCATTCACATTTTGATATTCATTATTGTTTTCACCACAGTTAGTATGATTGTCCATTTCACTAATCTAGACAATACATCATACAATTAATATGTATATACTAATTTTTTTCATTTACTAATTTATTTATACTTATAATTATTATCTATTATAACTTTATAATTCAACACACAACTTTTTGAACGTTCTATATAAATGTTGCCAAATGTTGGGTAACAGAAAAAAGCAGCAATCAATATATGATTGTTTATAAATAATTGTAATATATAAGATTATTATAAATAGTATATATATATATTATAAATATTGATAATACAAGATGATGTGTATATATATATATATATATATATATATATATATATATATAATATATATTATAAATAATATATACAAGATTGTTACCTCTTTTTTGCCCAAGCATAATGTACAACATCATTTATATTTCCAGTCAAGCATTCCTGCCTATAATGTAATTTAAATAAAATGAGAAAGTTAAAATAAAACGATTTATGCACATATATGTGTAACATATATAATACATATATGTTACCTGCATGTTAGTAACATCTATATAGAACAAGGCAGCAACAAATATAATATTACTTATAAATTGTAATTTAATTACAATTTATAAGTAATACTATATTTGTTTATATTGTAATAAATATGTATATATATATATATATATATATATATATATATATTAAATTGTAATTAAATTATAATTGTAAAACTTACTTCTTAATCTGAGCTATCTTTTTTTTTTTTTTAATTCGCCTCCCCAAGGCCGAGAAGGCCACTGCAGATGAGGAGGCTACTTGTAGTTATAACCCTCTCTCAATTCTATAACTCTGAAACACAAACCTTGAGGAACAAAGCCGCTTTGCGGAGAAACTTGTTAAGCGCGGTACTACCAGGGACGTGGTGGGAATCGAACTTGGAACCTATTTTTATGAAGCAAGTGCTCTACCAATACACTACTATCGCATGATGTACAACATCATTTATATTGCTAGTCAAACCTGCCTGCTGATAATGTAGTAATTTAAATAAAATGATAAAGTTAAGATAAAAAGGTTAATGTACATTTTTTTTTTTAAACATCTTCGCTCCCAACATAGCTGCAAGCAACCACTAATTAGTGTTGGAAGTTACTGGAAGAGAAAAGATGAAGATTGTAGAGCAAGATAACGATTGACAGATGATTTAAAAGATTGCAAGTTATATGAATCAGGAAGCAAGATGAAGGAAGCGAATTCCAAAGAACTGATGTTAGAGGAAAAAAACTAGACGAGTAAGAGTTTTTGGAGCACTTAGGAACAGTAACAGAATGAGACTTAATTGAATGACGAGTAACATGAGAATGAGTTTTAGTAGATGGCACAAGAGACGCTAGCTCTTTAGAGCAGTGCCCATTATAGTATTTGTAGAAAAAAGAAAGAGAAGCAACATTACAACGATGTGATAGAGGTTGAAGGTTGGCTGCAAGAACAGGTCCAACTATGTTTACAATGCGTTTTTGCACCTTGTCTAAAAGAGAAAGAGCATCATTAGAAGATCCGTCCCAGATATGGCAACAGTATTCCATACAAGGCCGGATTTGAGATTTGTAGAGATAGAGAATAGAATCCAGAGTAAGAAAGTGTCGAGCTCGATAAAGAGAAGCAACTTTAGCAGATGCTAATTTTGCAACAGATTTGATATAAGGTTTCCAAGAAAGATCAGAAGTAAGAGTTAATCCTAGAAGATGAAGGGTAGGAGACTCATCGAGTACATTATCGTTCATAAATATAAGAAGGTCTAAATTATTGCGATAACAATTGGCTGAAAAAAATTGAGTTTTATCTGAATTAAAGTTCACCAGCCACTATGAGCCCCATGCTGTAGCAGAAGTGAGATCCTTTTCAAGCTCAGATGCCCCCTGCAAGCAATCAGCGGGAGTTGGCTTCTTATCGTGACAAGAATAAATGGTAGTATCATCAGCAAACAATGCCACCTTAGATGTGAGAATATCTGGAATATCATTAATGTAAATTAAAAAAAGTATAGGGCCAAGGATTGAACCTTGAGGAACCCCTGAGGTTACAGAATAAGAAGAAGAGTGCTGTCCATTGAGAACAACTTTTATACTACGATTGGAAAGGAATGATTCAATAATCTTAAAGGTGTTTCCAGATACACCATAAGAAGAAAGGTTATGGAGAAGACCAGCATGCCAAACTTTATCAAACACTTTAGAAATGTCAAGAGCGATGGCCTTAACCTCACCACCTTTATCTAATGCGCGATAAAACCTATTGGTTATTACTGATAGCAAATCAGCCGTAGAACAAGAGGATTGCAATCCATATTGATCAGAAAGTAGGTTATGAGATTCGAGATGAGAGATTAAGTGTTTGTTAATTAAAGATTCAAAAATCTTGCTTTTGATAGGAAGAAGACTAATGGGACGGTAGTTAGACAAATCAGGTCGCTCTCCAGAATTTTTAAAAATAGGGATAACAGATGCTGCTTTAGAGCAGGCTGGAAAACAAGACTCTGATAAGCACTTGTTAAATAGTTTTGAAAGGATAGATGACAGCTCCGGAGAACACTTCTGCAAGGCTATAACAGGTATGTTATCCGGTCCGAAAGCTGTAGAAGAGTCTAAGCAGGAAATCACTTTAGATACAGAAGCTGGAGTGATATGGATGTCAAGCAATGGATCAACCTGTTTGACGGCTATATC